GAGCAAGGGACCAGACATGCACCTCAATTACAAGAAATTAAGTTCCTTGAAGGCTCATGAAATCATCAAAGGTTAGAAATGAAAGGGAGCTTACAAATCTTCTAACACAATACATACACACACACACACACACACACACACACACACACACACACACACCACACACACAAACTTTTTACAGATGAAGGAGGTTGGGAATTTCCCAAGGTTATACAGCTAGAAGAGTCAGGATTCAAACCCAGGTGGCATGGCTCTCTCTGCTGCTCATTTCAAAACTCCTCAAATACCACAGGGAGTGAGATTGCTCAACCTTGACAAGTACTATCATCAGATGTTCAGGATGCGATGTGGCAGGATGCAAAGGGCTTTGAAGTCACCAGAGTTCATATCCTGACTTGGGCACTTACAGTGTACAGCCTTGGAAAGTCAACTACGGTCACCGCAGCACAAGCTCATCTACAAAAGCAAAGACCGTAAACCCTGCCCCATGGCATGGTGGTAAGAATTAAATAGGATAAGACACATTAAGTACCAAGAAGGATGCCCGGCACACCACAGAAATTCCACGAACAGCACCTGTCATTACTATCTTGCTACTTCCTTTGAAGGCAGACCCAAAGTCCTGAACTTTCAGCATCAGCCTACAAAGAAGAGTGCGATCCAAACAATTCATCCTTACCAAATGTGGTATGGAGGTTTCTATTCTGTTTTGCCCAGCCAAAATAAATCCAATTCAATCTGGATCATTTAATGCTTAGCACCATTTTTAATACTAATCTCATCAGTTGTTATTTTCCATTTCCGATTTACCCAAATAAGCCATTTTTAGAGGTTATGACTTTAAACCTAAAATGCCCATCAAATAGAATTATCTTGGAAACACCAGGATCCCTCCGAGGGAATGTCAACATAAACACACAGGGGAAATGGCCACGCTTGATAAGGATTTGGTCACTGGCTTAGATGAGTGTTCAGTCGTAAACTCATCCAATACTACTCTGAGGAATTCCCATCTATATGTGCTTACTGCCCTGGCCACCCTGCCATCCTCTAGGTTTGAATGTCCTTTATGGAGTGAACTTGATCCTCCTGTTTCACTTTTGGTCTCTGTCCAGAGAAGCGAATGCGCTGGCATAGCTCTGCCATTTGTCAGCCAGAAGTCTGGCTACACATTTGCTCGTCAATCTAAACCTAACCTATTCTCATATGAGCACTTGGGGCTTCATGTAAATCAAACAGACGTTCTGTCATTCACCAGCAATATCGCTCCATAGTGCTCTACACCCATGTGCCTCCGKGAAATATTTCACTATGCCTGTGGAAGAAATATTCAAGTGATTGTGCTTTTTCAGGAATGGTGACATCAGAATGTTTTAAATCTGTTCATTACCACAACAAGGATAAATGGCATTTCTGCCAAAGACTTTTGCTAACGGGGTGCAGTAATGCACGTCAGCACTTTCTGAAATTAGAGGTTCTTCCCTGAGAGGTAAGTAGTATCATGCATGGCTAACAAAGGCAAATCCAAATTTTGGAGCCGAGTGTTTCTTATCAGAGTCAGAGTCATTGTTTCCAACAGACTCTGCCTTGGGGAATTCATAATGTCATGGCTACTCTCTTGGCATTAACGTCCAGGTGAGTCTGACCCCAAGGTTTGTAAAAGGGCAGATCCTTATTAACTTAGCATGCTGCATGGTGACTTTTCCTACATTTGGAGTCATGCATGCTTTTATCCGTTATATTTCAAAAGTCTGCTGTGGTTTAAGGACAATCTCTCATTGATGTATTAGTTTATTACTCATTAAAATACTTTAATAATTAGTTGTATAATCTCTTGTTGAGATTTTTAAGATATTTGTTTCTGGTTGTAGTAATTAATTGTTCATTAAAAAAAATTAGTGATGAGACTRGCCTTCATTAATTCTTTTGGCATTTTCAAGAGGCACAAAGGGACTGAGGAACTGGGAGTTTAAACAAGAAAATTAAATATCAGTTCTCATTGACATGTGCATGGTATTAGGACAGGTAACTTAAGTGTTTCTGGATTCACACTGGTGCTTTGATGTAGAGGTAGTACATGGGGATACTGGAGAAAAATGGAGAAGGGAGGACTTTGGATCCAGGTTATCTATAGCAAGTATACTTTATTCCTATAAGTGTCTGAAATGCCTGGTGTCATTACTATTCACTGCAAGAACTGTAAGTATGACCACTGTACTGTGTTAAAAAAAATACAATATCTGTGAAAGGTTATTCATCCAAATAGTATATCTTCTAAAATTAAAGACTCACAGAGCTGTATTGTATTGGCTTTCAAAATGTTTAAAATGGACAGAACATAGATTCTAGTCAGAGAGAAATAGTTGTCCTTTACTGTTGTGGATTCTGAACAGGTCCTAGAGATCATAAAGTTTTTAATACTGAATTTTCACTATAAAGTCACTTGATCACCAGTATAAATATTAGTGTCTAACTGAGTAAAATTTTGTGCCAGTGTGAAATGCAAAAATGCCTTCCTCTGGTTTCCTTTGTAGCTTTCTGCCTCTGACTCACGCCCTCTAGTGTTTCTGAGACAAAGTACAGTATCTAAAGTTCAGTTCACAGACAGAGTAGGTTTTTTTTTTTTCCCCAGTCTCTCAGTATTTTCCCTAGATATCATACACTAAAGCAAACTTATCATCAGATATTTTGCCCTGAATTCTAGGTGATTGCAAAAKTTTTTTATCTGAAAGTCTCAACTTGGTGAAATCTTGTATTCTGACCTCAGATCCCCAAAGGGGGCATTTACTTCTTATTCTTAGGGTTATGTTCCTTCCCTGCCTTTGAATTCTTGTATTCTAATTTACTTTTATTGTGCTGTGTATATGGGGGAAAGATACTCTAATGAACTAAAGCATGTAAGCAGGCATTTCTTYGATGTATTTCCCAGGGATAGAACTGGGATTCTTCTGTTACCCCAGAGGTTCAAGGTATTTTGACTCAAGAAAAAGGTGATTAATTTTTTAATGATCTTATAGAAAACAAAGGGATATTTTCAGTCATGGAAGCCCTTAGTCAAACCAGAAGCAATAGTCACTTGAGAAATTTATGGCTCCTGAGCACTTTTTCTTTACAGAGAAGGAAATATACTTACAAGCGGTCAGCTGCTATTGCTGCTGCTTTGGAAATCAGCCACAGCTGATTGTGAGAGCTAACTATAGGCCAAGGTCATCTGGGGATCCACCCAGCCTGCTCACAGCCGTGGCGCCCCCACCTAGCCACAGCGCATGAGCTTGCCAATCCAGCCAGTCCAGCCCAGACTGCTATTTTTAGTTGGAGTTCCCAAAAGTCCTTCAGGCTGCTGGCATTCACTTTTATACTATTTTAAACCATTATCTTTTTCTATTCACTGGCCACTCCTCGCCTTCATAATACCCACTGCATATTCACAGATATGGCGAACTGTAATATTGAAAATGAACCATTTTATGTAACAACAGAGTTCACCCACTGGTAGAGATCTACTCCATCAAATTACTTCAACTGAGTGTCTGAACGAGACACCTCAGATTTAGCTTCCTTCTTCTCTTCAGTCAACTCCCAACCTCCAGTCATCACCAGCTCTTATCCACTCAGATTTGYAAGCATCTGAAACTGATCCTGTCCTCTCCCATGTCCACTGTCACTGCAGTTCATCCATTCTCCTGGACTGCTATAATAGCTCCAAGCTCACTGTCCCGCCTTCAATGCCAAACACTCGAGTAGCAGTTTGTTACCTTTGAGAATTACAAATCAGAATGGTTTCCTCTTCTGTTTAAAATCCTTCAATGGTTCCCATCACCTGTAAGATTTCCAATTTTTAAACTTCCTAGTGTCTTGGTTCATTTAGGCTGCCTACAACAGAATACCACAGACTGGGTAATTTATAAAAAAAATAAAACAAAACAAAACCCCCCCAACAACTGGAACATAACATATAGGCTTCCAGTTGTGGAGGCTTAGRAGTTCAAGATCAAGGGTCTAGAATCTGATCAGGGTTTCCTTGCTAGGTTATCCCATGACAGAAAAGCAAGAAAGTGTGAGAGAGAGGCAAAAGGGGGACCAACCACATCCTTTTATAAGTCACACGCTCCYGCGACAGTGACCTGACTCCCACAAGGATTGCATTAATCCACCCTAAAGGTACCAACTCTTAGTACTGATATTTGGTAGACTACTAAGAGGAAGTTCAACACATGACTTTTGGAGGGCATGTTTAGACCATAGCACCGAGACCCATATTCAGGAGGCATCCCTCATTATGTAAATATACCCCATGCTTTGACCAGACCGAGTATTACTGACTTTCAACCCCATTGTGCTCTTCCATGTCTCCACATCTGCCTAGTGATGTTCCACTTTTCTTCAAGTCTCATTTTGCACATGACTTATTGATGGAGTGTTCCCTGACTCCCCACATCCATTCGGTTAGTCTCTCCATTTTGATGCTCTTTAGGCTAATTTTTTGTGTTCATGACATCTAGAACCGTATCTAAAGTAATAATTAAATTTTGTTGTATTAATCAAAACCTAAATCTCAAATCAGGCAGTAGCATCCAAGAAAACATCATGTGAATACACTTCCCACTTTGACCTCTCTGCCTTTCACTAAAMAGAAATTGACTCACCAGGTTCCAGACTGGGTCGTAATCTAAGGCCCCATTCACTTCAGGAACCTGATTTGTTTGCCGAAAGGTGGGGTGCAAAAGTCTTGAGGACAAGGGAATCAGATCAGAGAAGGAGGCAAGAGCAAGAAGAGTTGGAACTTGCTGCCTACGCAGACCACCCAATTCTGGAAGACTTAGGAAACAAAGGGGCTACTAAAATTGAGATGGACACCAATKCCTGGCTCGTACACAGTATGCCTTCAGGCTGTCTCTTCTCCTTTAATATTTGTACTCTACTTATGCCAATTCCCCAATTGGGTATAGGTTCAACCTGAAGAATCTGACTTGGAAATCAATAACCAGCACAGTTCCTACCTTGAATTTCCTGTTTAGTGATTCCCAGTCCTTTTAATCAGAGGCAAACAGGTGTGTAGGAAGAGGAAACTGGGACAGTATCCTTATGCAGGGTGTCTGTGGTCTCCACTGCTGTGTGGTCARCACTTGCTCAGCATGGGGCACACGGATAGCAGTGGGCAGAATCTGATCTTCAGTTGGATTGACAGGGTAGCATGTTGTAGTTTTCGTGTGATTTCAAACAATGATATCTCCTAGTTTGTGAGTGTGAGGGTTGGCAATTTGTACTGTGTTCTGTTGAGTGGTTCCTCTGGAGGTCACCTTTGGGCCACATGATTGGTCTAGACCAAGTGTCACTCACATGTCTGGGGTTAACAGGCTATCTGAAGTGTATTCTCCTCTGGGTGGCCACCTAATGGGTTGATTTGAGCTTATTTTCATGGTAATCCCATGGGTCTAGTGCAGCAGGAGTGTGTGAGCCTCAGTGTGCAAGTGCTTTTCAAGTCTCTACGTGTATCATGTTTGCTAGAGGTTGAACCAAGTCACAGAGTCAAGTTCAGAATGAAGGAATGGCAGGAATATGTGGCCATTTTGCAATCTACCTTAGAGACCTTTTCAAGGTTATCTTTATGAAGCCTGCATGTCACTTGGGAAAATCCCTCTTCTTTCCTTAATAATCAATACTCAGAGTCGGGTGCAGTGAAGCATGTCTGTAATCCCTGTGGCTCAGGAGGCTGAAGCAGGGGGGTCGCAAGTTCAAAGCCAGCCTCAGCAATTTAGCGGGGCCTAAGCATCTCAGCAAGACCTTGTCTCTCAATAATATTGAAAAGGGCTGGGGATATGGCTCAGTGGTTAAGCACCCATGGGTTCAATCTCTGTTTTTTTAAAAAAAAATCAATACTCAGGCATGCATGCATTACATTCTGCCCAAGATTGACCAGCCCACAGGGAGGGTGTCCTCTGTCCTCTGATGATCTAGTAAGTAGCCACTTGCAAACAGCACACAAATGGTATCCCATCCACTTGAGGGAAGCGGAAGTACAAGAAAAATGTAAATAAATCTAAAGGAAAGAAAWGGCAAGGTGGCCCATGACTTGTCTGGGAAGGTTCATGCTTCAGAAGATTGTGAAGATAGTGTGTCACTGGGCCCCTGTCCTCACTTGGCCACAAAGCAGTGGTGCACACAATAAGCAGCTGCTCCCATCCAGTAGCCCACGAGTGCTCCAGCTAGACAGTCCCATCAACTCCTTGTTCCCTTCCAATTGTCTCTTCACACTAAAACCATGTGCGGGTTGCCATCTGTCCATGCACTCACCCTATTGTATGGACAAATTGAAGATACTCTACTTTCTWTAAAAAAATACGAAAACTAAAGATAGGTCAGCAAGCTCTGATTCTTGARGAAAGAATATTCCTGTATGTTAAATATACAAGGAAGATGGGTTTTGTTTTGTTTTAAATACTAGGGATTGAACCCAGGGGTGCTTTACCACTGAGCCCTTTTTATTTTTTTGAGATAGGGTCTCACCAAGTTGCTTAGGGTTTCACTAAGTTGCTGAGGCTGGCCTCAAACTTGCAATCCTCCTGCCTCAGCCTCTCAATCACTTGGATTATAGGCATATGCCACTACCCCTGGCTTAAGAAAGATGTGTCTTTGTAGGGGGAAAAATATACCTTAAGATGCTATGATAAGAGAGTTTCATTCACCCATTCACATTACCCACTGAGCCCCCAMGGTCATCCGAGTTTTCTACTTGTGATGAACAAATACCTTTTTTCCCCAACTTGAATAACTTGTAAGGTTTTTACATCTTACTGAGCTCTGCATTTTGGGCAAAATGGGGAGGGTATCAATAAATATTTCATTGATGCAGGGATAGCTTGGATCAAGGTTCTGAGAGAGAATAAATACAAGGGAAGGAGATCGCCTTCATTTAGATAATATTTTGCCTCAGCCAAATGGCTAATTCGCAGCTAATCGTTGCATCTTAACCAGTGACAGCTGGAGCTCACGGCTTGCATTCTGCCTCGTCGTCTTTATTCCTTCTGGAAAGGCAGGAAGCAGAAGGGCTCCGCACACAGCAGTCACAGACATCATCAAAGACAAACCACTGACATGGAAACCCAACAAGCAGAGGCTTCCTAGTCCAAGGCTGGCTGTCAGGAGCCACATGCAAGTTCACGCCACATAGCACCGTCACAGCCTTCCTCCTTGGTTCTTTGGGGGACCAGAATTGGGAAACAAGGCTTCCTCGGTTTTCCAATAAATGACCTATTTCAGTGAAATGGGGTGGGGATGGGGTTGCAGCCACGCGGCCAGCCAGTCAGTCGTAGCCAGGTCGGAGCGATGTTGGTATTTCATGCCAGTAATTCTGTCTAGCAGAAACTCAGCCTGGCTTTTTTCCATTCCCTTTTAGCAAGATTGCGGTTGTAAATCAGCAAGAGTGTCCTGGAGACGGCTTCAGGTGGGTTGTCGGGAGCGGTGTGGAGGAAGAATCTTCAGAATAATTTAGAGTGTGAGTCCAGGAGGGAAGGTCAATTTTGCTATTTAGAACCAGAGCACTATGCCGAACTTGGCTTTGGAGAGATGCTTTAAATGTCAGTCTTGGAATTTGAATTTAGAATATGTGAAAAACACAATCACTCATACTTTTTACCCCTCGAGACAGCCCATGTTCTCATCTCTGACCTCTGAGCATCCTCTAAGTTGGAGAGGCAACTTCAGTAATAATTGACTATGGGATGATAAAAATCCCTTTTTTTTTCATTCATAAGAATAGTTTATTTGTAGGTCCCAGAGGAAAACAGGGTGGATATTATTCTGACCTGAAGGGCAGTGTGGACAAAAACTGGATTTTCAAGGAGACTACAGGTCCCAGGCTTACATTTTTAATAACAGTGCAACTTTAGACAAGTACCTTGCCCTCTCTGGGCCTCTCCTTTTTCTCTAAAATAAAGAAGCAGTTATTCAGAAGAGCAACTATAAAATAACTTTGTATAGTATTAAGGCCAAGTTAGAAACTTAGTCCATTTTCTGTTTGCTATCATAGAATACCTGAAACTGGGTAACTTATAAAGGAAAGAGGAGTTTTGGGTACATGATTCTAGAAGTCCAAGAGCATGTTATCAGCATCTGCTTGGCTTCTGGCAAGAGCACCATGCGGTTCCATGCGTGTCAGAAAGGCAGAAAGTGCAGGAAGCTAGCACAAGTGCAGGAGAAGAAGGGAACGGAGGAGCTGACCCACTTTACAACAACCAACACTCATAATCATGACCCCCTTGCTCAGGATCTACACAAATGCTTCCATGAGGGTAGAATCCCGTGACCTAACACACCACCTTGCCATACCATTATGTTGGCAATTACATTCCACATGGGGTTTCCCTGGGGCAAACCATATGCAAACCACAGCAGAAGCCTTGATGGAGGGAGATAAATGACCAAACTCCCTCAGCAGCAGCTACAGAAGCCTGCTGGAGCCTGTGTGCAGTGACTCACACCAGGGCTCCCTAACTTAAGCGCTTCCCCCTTTGGCCAAGCCCTCTGAGCTAAGGACTGGATTGATATGAGGTATGAATAAAATAGAGCGTGGAATGTTGGATCTATCCACTTCCCAAAGCTCTGATCTGTCTACACTGCAATCTCTGCTAGATCTTCCTAAACCCCATCAGTTATGGATACAAGAAAGACTCAGTAGACATTCCTCAATGGAAAGACTAGAAGAGAAATCTGTGGCCTCGTTGATTAGAAACAACCCATGGAAATAGCAGAGGTCTCAGGCTTTCCTGCAACTCCTTGCCTGAGGCTCCTACCATGGGCCTGGCCCTGTATCCTCACCTGTATTTACTTCTCCCTAGGTGCCCATGAATGCTTCTTTTCAGTAGGTCATTATTGACTCACTCCAAGGACCTGCCCCCACCAAAATACCACCATGATTTCTGCTACATGCTCTCTCAAAACCTTCCATTCTCTGAAAACTTAGGAACTTAGAGAGGAAGAACATGCACCCTGAGGAACAAGCAAAACAAAACAAAACAACCTAAAATGCAAAATCTTTCTATAATGTCCTCCTTTTTTTTTTTTTTTGTTTTTGTTTTTCCTTTGGTGCCAGATATCAAACCCAGGGGCATTTAACCACCCAGGCACATCCCCAGCGCCACCACACCCAGCCATGGCCTCATTCTTGACCCATCTCATACTAGTTTCTTCCCACCAGAAGCCATTGGGAGAGAGACAGCCCAAGTAATATTTAGCTCTGATACACTGTTTGCTTTAATTATTAACATTTGGCAGCCAACAGAACCAGCAGCACTTCCTCCAGACACTTGAGAAAGCGAAAGGAACAGCTCGCGCCTCGGCCTTCCTAAGATGTTTGAGCAGCCGTGTTGGATGGGCACGTGCAGGCTTCACACATACCAGCAAACACTCCAAGTGTGCTAACGGATTCATTTGCTCTACAAATATTTATTGAGCTGGCACCATCTAGATGCTGGGAATATATCAGCCAACAAAACAGACAAGAATCCTGGTTCTTATGGAGCTTATACTCTAGTGGGAAGTGGAGAAGACCAAGATTTAAAAAAACAAGGAAATTATGTGGTATGCAAGGAAGTAATCACACAAAAATGTAAGAGGAATGGGGAGAGGGTTCTATTTTACATGGTGGGTCATTAAGAAGCTAACATTTCAGCAACATCTTGAAGGGAAAAAGTGAGCCAAACAGGTATCTGGAAAATGGTACTACAGACAGAGAGCATAGCCTGTGCAAAGGCCCTGAGGTGGAAACACACCTGGAACATAAGGAAGCATGAATGTTGGGTCTGGAAAGGAGTTGAGGGTAGTAGGGGAAAGGAGACTTTAGAGGAAACAGTGGGCAGACAGATCGGACCTCACAGACTCAGCTATAAAGTTTGCATTCTTTTAGAGAAGCTTGGTACAGAGGGACCTGATCTGACCTAGGGTTTAACAGGATTCCACTTGCTTTCTGGGCAGTGGGTTTCATTACATGCTCAGATGAGATCACAGAGACAGGCCATTTGTACTGAAAAAAAAAGAAAATCACTGCACTTTTCCCTACAAGTTCAGGATTGTTATGCTGGGAAACTCATGCACCAGCATCCTCCAATGAACGGAGCTCTGCCACGGCCCTGTCA